AAAATAAGATATGTACAGTGTACGTAGGAATTTGCTCATAGTTGTTTTTTTTTTTTTAACTATAGTCTGAGGGACAGTGAACCGACCCCCAGTTTAAAAGTTTGAGGACCCCTGCACAAGACAGAGTAGCACTTCCCTGGAAGTTCCAGAGACGGTAACTGTTGATGGGAATAGAAAGCACCCTTATTCTTTTGAAGAACGGTGGTTTCCAACTGCCTTGCTACTATCATTTCACAATTTAAAAATCCTAAGGGAAAAGTGAACAGTTATCACTATATTAAAATACTACATTTGTATTTGCCAAAGTTATAGCCTCTGCTGTCTAGGTGATCCCCACATGTAGTCACCCTGTGATAGGGTGTCTGAGGCTGTAAATCTCAACGGAGCAGACAACCCCTTCTTTCTCCCAGGGATTGACTGGTGGGCTTGAACTGCTAGCCTGTGGTACCCACTAGCCACCAGGGATAGATATATTTAAAAACTAGACACAAGCCAGGAAAATAATTGTAACATTTGACAAAGCTCTTAAGTAAAGAACAAGAACAGATCTTAAGAACCACTGTGGACAACTGAAAATAGTGAATAAACATGCTTGAATGCTTACCTTTAAGAACAGAGAAATTAAAATAACAAGGAGGCAAAAAATAAAATAACAGGGAGAGAGAGAGATCACTTTGGCTTGTCAGGGGGTAAAAACTTTGATAAGTCCCTGTGTTTTTGACAGGATAAGGAAACAGACACTCTTCTATTTCTGATAGGGAACATGCAAAGACAAAAATGTCTCTAATAACTTTAAATGCGTATGTCTGTGATACAATACTCCATTACTAGAAATTTACCCAATGAGTACACAAATGAGCTAAAATACCCAAACAAGAATAGCTACTGAAGCATATTTTTTATAAACCACCAACTATGACAAAAATGAAATTTAAAAAATTTCCATCACTGGAATTGCTTAACTAAAAAGATCAGTGATATGAAAATACTCTAAGGCTACTCTGTAGAATAAATAGGATGTGTCTGTTTACTCAGTTAGACGGAAGCTTGTCATTCAATAGGAGGGCGCTATAGGATGGTATAGAACATACAGGATTCTGAAATCATTTTGGAAAAGTAATCTGGAGAAATATGTTTGTGAGAGTATGTATGCTCATAGGACGAATTCCCATAAAACAGTAAAGTAGCATGAGGGATTTTCATTATATTTTATAATTTTCTATATTGCTTGCATTTTATAACCAGAAAAAGAATATCCCATGAAAAAATTCCCATCCCATGGTGGCCCTATGGGTCAGAGTAGAACTTCCCCTGTGGGTTTCCAAAGTTATACATCTTTATGGAATCAGAAAACTTCAACCTTCTCCCATGGATTGGCTGACAGTTTCAAACTGCTGGCCTGTGATTCGCAACCCAACACATAGCCCATTATGCCACTAAGGCTTCTGGGTAAAAGGAGAATTCAGTACAGGAAAGACATGTGTACAGGAGCATTGAAGACAAACTCACAGCAGAATGTGCAGTTCTAAGGGATTGTATCCCGGTGGGAAAGCTAAGAGTAGCATCCAAGTGTCCTAGCCCATAGAAGAAGGGAGAGGTAGGAAGGGAATCCAGTGTACATGAATTTGTACAAATGATGCTATGCTTGATCTAATGCCAAAGTTTGTGGTTTTCTGTGTGTAGCAGACTGCTGAGTGTGGGTGGGGATGCAGTGGGAGCTGGTGGTGGGAGCTGTGGATGTTGGCAACAGTGATTAGGTTTACTTCCCAACTGGGCTTCATTTAGCTTTTCTAAATTAAAGGCAACTTTGGGATGTGCAATTTCAGAGTCCTCCAGGGCACACTGGTTTTGTTGTGGTTCCTTTACAGATGAGCTATGCTTCTGTGAACTAGTGCAAGCACAGCTTTACTTAACACACACACACACACACACACACACACTCACCACCGCTGCCAGTTTTTATGGACTGCGAAGCAGGTTTCAGACCTACATGTAGAGTGGATAGTTGGAGGCACATTTGATTTAGGCCCCGTTTCTTAGTCCAAGGAATTTTAATCCTCATTGTAAACAAGTGAGAACCAGGCAGTCACATACGTAAGGTACAATGGTGACCGAAGGGTTACCTTACAGAGAATAAGTCAGTTTTGACTATATTCTCTTAGTAACTTTTGACCTACAACAAGAACTTGGCTTTTCCAAAGCAGTGCTTGCATGTGTGTGATGGCCATCATAAGGCCTACTACTGTGCCCGATACCTGGTAGCTATTGAATAACTCGTGGCCATCGAGTCAAAGCTGGCTCATAGCAATTCCCTGTGGGCTTCCGAGACTGTAACTGTTTATGGGAGGAGAAAACCCAGGCTTTCTCTCAAGAAGCCGCTGTGGTTTCAAACTGCTGATTGTGCGGCTCACAGCCCGATGCATACCCACAACACCAGCAGGGCTCCTCTAGCTACTTAATAGATGGTCGCTATTATTATTATCAAATTCTCTAGGCGGCATGCACAGGCGATACACAGATAATGCACTAATTAGCTTCTGACTGAAAAGTTGGATGTTCAGGTCCATCTGGAGGTTGCCTACAACAAAAGTCTGGGGGTTTATTTCTGAAAACTCAGCCACTGGGAACCCTGTGGAGTAAATTTTACTTTGACATATATGGATCAGTCTACTCAATATCAATTGGCTTTTATTATGATGATCCAAGTATCATAAGTGCAATAGAAAGGGTAAGCAAAACCAAACGCAATGCCATCGAGTTGATTCCAACTACACAGAATAGAACCTCCCCCTTGGGTTTCTGAGACTTTAAAGCCTTACTGTGTTAGTCTGGGTAGGCTAGAAAAACAAATCCATGGACACACATATGTGTATAAGAAAGATTTATATACAAGAGCAATTGAACATTGAGAAAACATCCCAGCCCAGTCCAGATCAAGTCCATAAGCCCGGTATTAGCCCATATTTCCGTTATCAATCTAGAAAGTCCTCTTCAGACTCACAAAACACATGCAATGGCACCGAATGCAGAAGATCACAGGCCAGTGGTAGAAAGTCTTTGGATCCAATGTCCTTGGAAACATCTCAGCGTTGGCAGGGGTCTCTCCGTGGCTTCTCTGGCTTCCAAGGTCTGGTTGCGTCCATATGGCTTGCCTTGTGCAATGTCTCTCAGGGAGTAGCAAAGAGAAAAAGGTGTCTTCCACCTCAAAGGAGGAAGCACCAGATTTCCCAGAATTCTCAGGAGAAGGCCATGCCTATACAGAAGTCTCATTGGCTATCTCCAGACTGACAGCCTCGCCTCCATCCCTACACTCTTAATCCTTAAATTGACACCAGATTAGGGGACGACCACACTTATCAAAGCAGATCGTGCCATCTTTCTCTCAGTGGTAGATTCAAACTGCTGACCTTGTACTTAGTTCCCTCAATATAGAGCCCATTATACTACCAGTAAAGTGCATTGTAAAGTTCCAACTCTTTTCCCAGGAATGGAAAAAGAAGAATAACATATTACAGTATTATTGTAAAGTTCTCATCTCTTTCATCAAATTACTTAAGGCTTTCTGTTGTCAACTTCTATTAGCAGAAACAAAGGCAACCACTACTTATTGTTTTAATATCCTAACTTGGATGCTTCTGTGGGGTTCCCAAGTATAGATTGTAAACTTCTCCCCAAGGAACATTCAGTGGCCTTTCTAAATTGCCCTTTACGCTCAGCCATTTAGTCTGGTAGAGCTTTTGACTCTGGAACACTTCTCGACAGAGTTGCTAGATTCTCGCACACTTAAAAAAACTTCCTTTAGCATTTTTAAAAAACAGAACCCATAGGAAGGAAGAGCATATCTATGTCCAGAGGTGTTCCCAATAGGGCAGTGGGTTCAGCTTGTTGCAAGAGTTTTCATCAGGGTCTAAGGCCAGCATTATTCTCAAACACTCAGACTCCAAACACTCAGGATAGGACAGGAGATTTGACCCAAAGAGCCAGGATTGCATGAGCATTAAGACAGAACCCCGGTGGTCTAGGGGCTATGCACCAGTTGCTAAACAAAGGATTAGTAGTTCGAAACCACCAGCTCTTCTGTGGGAGCAAGAGGCGTCTTCCCACTCTCATAAAGAGACACAGTCTCAGAGCCTCACAGGGGCAGTTCTAGCGTGTCCTACACGGCCTCCATGAGTTGGGATCAACTCAATGACAGTGGGTTTGGTGGTTTTCTATCTTTTGGGAACAGCTCTTTGCCCCATCAAACAGCCCTGCCGTCTTGAGCCTGCATCATCAGAGAAGGAGCTGGTACCAGGTTCCCAACTGGCTACTGCATTACACGGACAACACAGCATCCAAGTGCCTACCTGCACCCTCTCCTTGAGCAATTCTATAGGATTGCTACAGAACCCGGTGGTGTAGTAGTTACTCACCGGGCTGCTAAATGCAAGGTCCGCAGTTCGAAACAACCAGTCACTTCCACGGGAGAAAGACAGGACTTTCTGCTCCCATAAAGAGTCATAATCTTGGAAACCCACAGGGACAGCCCTCCCCTGCCCTACAGGGTCACCATCAGTCAGCATCTTCTTGATGGCAGTGAGTTTGCTTTGGGGGAATTGTTTCACCAGGGGGCTCTGGTGCTGGTGTCGGCTACTCGTGGAGCTGCTTACTCAGGGGTTCGTGGCACACTCCGCAGGAGAAACATCAAGCTGCCTGCTCCTGTACAGCCGTGGAAACCAACAGGGGAGTGTCGACTCTGCTCTTGAGGGGTTCACGCTGTCAGAATAAGCTCAATGACAGGGAGCTTGTCTTTGGTTTGGGTTTATTTTTTTTAGTCACAGCTTCAACTAGCCAGTAAGTATACCTTCATTTAGTGTCCCCTAGGTGGGTAGGATGATATGAAACCCTGTAAGGACTGCATACCACGGGGCGCTATATGAGGGTGACTCGGCCCAGAGGTCACTGGGCCGCGCAGGCGTGGAGGCCGTGCTCCCTCAGCCTGGCTCTGTGCTTCGTTACAGAGGAGCCCCTGGCCAGCAAAGAGTCTGCGCAGGCGTCGGAGTCCATCCCAGAGTACACAGCGGAGGAAGAGCGGGAGGACAACCGGCTGTGGAGGACGGTGGTGATCGGAGACCAAGAGCAGCGGATTGACATGAAGGCCATCGAGCCCTACCGAAGAGTCATTTCTCACGGAGGTAGTCATGCTTTGTGCAGGTCCTGGGTCTGGGGAAACAGGGTCGCCATGTTATTCTTATCAGAAAACACAGCTAGAGTTCTTTGTAGCCGGAATCCCAAAGGTGCCTAGTCATAAGCAATGTTCACGAGACTGTGGGGTTAAGTATATTACTTCCCACTTCATGCACCAAACATGTGCGAGCAGGCTGTGTAAAAAAGTAACTTCCCAATGTGGAAACTGCTGCTTATCCTCTCTCGTACTTCCGTTTGCAAATGCCCTGAAGGACCTCGTTGCTTAACTACAGTGTCTCTTTGGAATGCCTATCCATTGGGAATAAGGCTTTCACTAACTCCGTCTGCAATGCATAGTACTGCGGATTGTAGCAAGACGTTTGCACCAAAGGTGCTTCTAATTACAAAACCATCTTTTAAATCCTCTTTAGAAGTTTTAGGAAATTGTTTCTAGCGTCAGCCTGGTAGCACACCCCATCAGGTGAAGTTTGCTCTTTCTATAAACGTCTACATCTAAGTCTGCAAACAGGCTGCCCCAGCCAGCACCTCTCCCCGCAGTGAAGGGCGAGCCAAGAGAACAGCTGCATCCTGTATTTCCAGCTCTTTCGTGAGGCCTGGGGAGCATGTGCAGCCGCTGTAATTGGGGTTTTACGGAAGTCAGATGGGCACAGCAACGCATTTAACACCGTCACCCCGAGAGAACCTCAGCAGCTTGTGGATCTTCTCCTGCATGCCCCCCTTCCCTGCAGTCTTGAAGCACCACCCTCACCGCCCAGCTGTGCCAGGGAAGAAGAGAATAAGTGTAAGCTGACAAGACACGCATTGTTCCCTAAATGCCCCCTTCCTTCATTAGGACAGGGAAATGAGCATCTTGCTCCTTCATTAAATGCATTGCTTCTGTTTTTTAAGCAGCAGAAGGGCATTTTGGTATTTCAGGCAAGCTTCGCTCCCCGAGTGACTCCCCGCCACCCCGCACCCCGCCTCCATCCTATGTGTATTACTCCTGCTGTGTAAGGATGGGGGCCACCCAGGAAACCCCATTGTCATGGCAAAGAAAAACACCAATGGGCATCCCCGGCCCTTTTCTTACCATCGTGCTGTTTGACCAGAAAGGAGCCCTGATGGCATAGTGGGTTACCCGGTGGTTATGCCTTGGGCTGCTAACTGCAGGGTCAGCAGTACGAAGCCGCTAGCCCCTCCACAGAAGAAAAGTGAGGCTTTCTACTCCTGTAAAGATCCATGGTCTTGGAAGCCCCACCCAGAGGAGAAGTTCTACGCTGCCCTGTAGGGTCGCTCGCTCTAAGTCAGAATCGACTGGGGGGCAATGAGCTTGGTTTGGGAGGTGGGTTTGCCTGGAGTCTCTTCGGGGGTACAGATGGCTGTCACACTTGATTGCTAACCAAAGAGCTAGAGGCCTGGGACAGTCCAGGGCAGCTCTGAGGGAACCCCCGGAGATCTACGTCCATGGAATCCTGACCACTGAAAGACCCAAGCAGTGCAGCAATGCTCGGACGCCCAGGAGGACCCCAAGTTGGAAACAGCTCGATGGCGGCTGGTCTACTTGACTGGCTGTCCACAGTGACCCCTGCTGGGGCACCTTCCTCTAAGGCAGTGGTTCTCAACCTGCCTCATGCCGTGAGCCTTTTAATACAGATTCTCACGTTGTGGTGACCCCCAACCATAAAATTATTTCCATGGCTACTTCATCACTGTAATTTGGCTACTGTTATGAATCTGGTGACCCCTGTGAAAGGGCTGTTCAACCCCCAAAGGGGTCGCGACCCACAGGTTGAGAACTGCTGCTCTGAGGAAAACTTTCCTGAGTCGGAATAAAGGCTCACTAAGCTTACTGGAAGTTGGGAGCCATGGGAAGTGAGGACAACTGGCCATAGTCATTTGTGAAAAGCAGAGATCTTCCCAGAAAGCTCAGATTTCTTTGCACCATCCATCGGCATTTGGAAATAGCATTAAAAAAAAAACTGATTATAGAAGTCAACATGATCGTTTTTAAGATATGCCCCCAAAGTGCAAATATCGGCCCCAAACAAATCAGAGCCTTCCAATGATCATCGCTGGAATCCTGTCCTAAATGGCCGGCCTTCTTTTGTGAAGAAAGCAGGCTCGCGTCTCACCACTCTCCTATGACCTCGGCAGACATCTCTCTGGAATGATCTAGGACCCATCAGTCTGTTGCCCAGATCATTGGCTGGGGGTGGGGGAGGGGAGCGGGCAGAAAAAGCCATGGCCTTACCTGTGCCAGCCTTTGTGCAAATCCCCACTAGACTTCAGGCTAACCTTGTCTGCTGTGCTGTCCATTCCTGCCACCTCCTTCCCTCAGCATTTGCTCGTCGCCCTTCCATGTGTGAGCTTGGCTCTTGTCTGAGTGGCTGTCTAGTTTGTTTTGAAGAAAAAAAGCACTTTTCTTTCCCTGCCTCCCCCTCAGTTTGGTCCCAGGCACTGGCCTGCATGACGGCATCCCCGGCTACACTCACTCTGGGCATAAGGAGATGGCTGCGGCCCTTATCCTACAAGTTGAACAGCTTTTGGGCTCTCTAGAGAACGATAGTCCAGAGGTTACTTCTTGACTTCCCAAAGCCACGTGTTCTTATGTGTAGTACTAGCATCTCTCAGACTCTCAGGATGATGAAGCAACGCTCCTTATTCACCAACCAATTGAGTTTGTCTTCCTGGTGTATGAGGAATTCATAGTGGACATCCTTTGTGGGGGGCTTGCCTTTGGCTGTGAGGAAGGTTTTCTACTTGGGCCAGTAAGAAGGGGTCAGCTCTATGGCATTCTGTGCAGTACAACTGCAAGGTGGGTGTGCACCCTAGCAACAAAGCGAAAGCTGGGGAGACGGGTCCGGGACAGCAGTGTTTGAAGAAGCCGGTCCGTCTACATCTGTGTGTCCCTGGTATGAGATATTGCCCAAGGCACATACAAGGGCCACTTACTAGGCTGCAGTAGAACAGGCTGCTAACCGCAAGGTAGGCAGTTCAAACCTCCTAGTTGCTGGGAGGGAGAAAGATGTCAGGCGTCTCAAGGACAGTGGAAAACCTTGGATTTGACCCTGAACTTCTCTGTTTACATCATCAGTCAAATTAAGAGGGTCTCAAAGTAGCGTTAGATCCTGTGAGCTCACGGGCATCCTTGGGTAGCACAACTGCTGAAGGGTAGACATTTCAAGTCCCCCAAGAGACACATCCAAAGAGAGGCCTGCCAACTAACAAATTTCAGGCATTGACACCTTTCAGGACACAACTGTACTATGATATACACGGGGTCACTATGAGTCAGATTGACTCAACTGGTTTATGAGCCCCTGAGCCATAGCCCTGCCACCTGCTTACATAAAAAGGCGAAGGGGGGAGAGTCTCGTTTATATCAGCGGAGCAAAGGGGCATCTGTTTGAGACTCAGAGTGGCTCTTTTGAAGTTGAAATGGAGTACGCATTTAAATAACCAAGGGCAACCATGCCAAAGGATTATAACAAGGAGTTTCTGTTCTTGTTTTCTTTTTACCTCTCTTCTTTCACTATAGGAGATTCAGGTAATCTTCTCTGCAGCGTTGCTGGAAAACTGACCCTGGAAAGAATGAGAAGAGTTGCCCCTGGGGTGTGCGTGTGCGCGTGTGTGTGTGTGTGTGTGCGCGCGCGCGCGCGTGTGCGTGCGTGTGTGTGTGTGTGTGTGTGTGTGCGTGCGTGCGTGTATGTTTGCATGTGTATGTTCTGGTTGCAACTGTACCATCCTTCCTCCTCTCTCCATCCCATTTGCTGGCCTGCAAACTTGTGTCACCTCCCTTTCATATCTCCCTGCCCTGCCTCAGGTAAGATTTGTCACCCTTGCTTCAGAGGGCTTCTGAAGGCACCAAGGTGGGACAACCCATACCCCTCAGCACATATGCCCTGAACTCGCCATCTGTGTATTGTGACTAGAGTTTAATAGGATTACGTTTTTTAATCAAACGAGAAATAAATTATGCTGCTGCCAACAGGCAACTCACTGAAGTAAGGTTGTGGATCAAAGTTGTGGATGTATTTGACCCGCTTGACGGCATCAGGGAGGGACAAGAAAAGCAAATGATCCTAGTCATTCACTTATTGCATGTTACCACCAATTAGTACCTGAAATAGTGGCAAGTTCTGGCAACAGTGGTACCAATCTTGACTCATGAGGAAAGCTATTCATGGAAATATTTTTTTCTTCCTTTTCCTTCCTTGTATTATCTCATCCTCTCCTCCCATGTCTTTTCCTCCCTCTTTGCCACTTTTCCCTTCCTACAGCTCCTCGCTAAAAGTACACAAAGCCATCACCACTTGGTTGGTTCAGAAATCTTTGTGTAAATGCATTTTTTACTTAGAAATGGCGTGAACAAGACACTACAGCTTCACAAGGACAGACAGCAGTGGCACAGATATTTGACCCGCCATTTAAACCGACTTCCAGAGTGGTGTTTATAAACCTAGTGTGTTTTTAAATTTTTTCTTTTAATTTCTTTGGAAATCTCCAGAAATCAGGGAAGAAGTGGAAGTCATTGTCCAGTCATAATCTTATCACCACAGCTACTGTTAGAAAAATGCTTTTGAAAGGAGGTTTCCTACTTGTTTCTAAGTTGAATTTATTTTGTCTGTTATCTCTTGGCATAGTGGTTACATGTTGGGCTGCTAACTGCAAGGTCAGCAGTTTGAAAGCACCCGCTGCTTGCAGGGAGAAAGAACAGAGTTGTCTACACCTCACCAAGGGTTATAGTCTCAAACTCACAGGCGTGGTTCTACCTTGTCCCAGAGGCTCACCATGGGTTGGCATCCATTCAAAGGCAGCGAGTTTGGTTTGATTATCTCTTTTAATGAATGGAATCTTTTGCATTCTACAAAATCTGACTCGCAGACCTTTGCGGTCCTGGGATTGCTGTAACTACATCTATAATCCTTTGGTGGATTTCCACTTAGATATATATCTTCTTAAAGACAAGTGTTTGTTGGCGCAAACACGCCTTGTAATAACGTAAACCTCCCCCTGCCAAGGCCCTTCACCTTGCATTCTAAATGGAACCAATAAAATACTGGAAAAGGTGGAAACTGAAACAAAGTCTAGAGCAGAGGTTCTCAACCTTCCTAATTCCGTGACTCTTTAATACCTCATGTTGTGGTGACCCCCAACCATAAAATTAATTTCGTTTCATCACTGTCATTTTGCTGCTGTTATGAATTGGGCAACACCTGGGAACGGGTCGTTCCATCTTCAAAGGCGTCTCAAGCCACAGGTTGAGAACCGCTGGTCTACAGGGAAGCCACTGCCACCCATTCCACACAAATGGGATGTATCAAATGTATACACACATAGGCAGCATCTTCCAAAATATGTAGCATAAACACTGATGACAACAACCTCAAATTACTCTGCCCCACCTCTCTGCAGTCAGTCTCTTTATCTGTGTTCAAAACATTATTAAGCTGCCTTTCAGGAGTTAAGCTCTTCCAAATGTTGATCCAGCCGGTGGCTTACTGCTGAGCACAGTCCCCAGGCAGGTCTTCAGTGTCCCACAAACGAACCTGCCAGGTAACCTCTGGGAGCGCTGGGTCAGGCCGGCCCTGTCCAACCGCAGCTTAAAAAAAACAAAACTGTTTAATGGTGCTGACGTCCTGATGGCTAGATGGCCGAAATGGCAAGTTTCTGAACGGGAGATTGGAAAGTGAAATTACAGGGCAGCATTTTTGTTTTTAAGTGTGAAAGACACACAAGGTTGCAATCACTTGTTTGTAGGGCTTTGACCTGCCATGCATTTCAAAAACAACCCCCAAGAGCTGACTTACACAATCGGGCAGTGCCACCTTATTTCAGAGCTCTCATTAGGTGGGGAAGTTGTCCTGAGATGCATCTGTATTCACCTTGACCCTTAAGCATGTCAGGTGCCACAGTGACCTTGAAATCAAAATGAAGTTGTTGTTTGACGCAGCTTCACACTAGTGTCTGATCACAGGAGTGTGTATCTCTCAGATGACAGTGTAGTTCAGTGACTGAATGTTCCCCTCAAAGTGACTGGAGTTTAAATTTAAACTAAAGAATATTAAACAACCCCTTTCTACATCATTCAAGGAAACATTACGTAAACATTTGTATGTTTATAATATATAAATTAGAAAATGGTAAGCCAAAAAGTCCTGTCCACCCATTCTTTGATAAATTATTAGCATAGCCCATTCGCAAGTGTGCGTGACACAGATAATCACCCATGATATAGATATTTGCATAGGAGCCCTGGTGGCAGAGTGGGTTATGCATTGGACTGTTGACTGCAAGGTCAGTAGTTAGGACCCACCAGCTGCTCCATGAAAGAAAGATGAGGCTTTCTACTCCCATAAAGAATTACAGTCTTGTAAACTCACAGAGGTAGTTCTGATCTGTGAGTTGCAATCAACTTGATAGCAATCAATTTAGTTTTGGGTTATACTTGTATACAAATATGGTCCCCAATTTAGGGTGATTGGTGTTCTGACAACCCACACTTATCATATCCCTTTTGTTTTTGTAATGATTTGTGTATTTCTTATGTTGCTTATATATATGCTTATAGAGGTATATCAAAATATGTCTGTATGTTTATATGTATTTTCCCATCCCTCAAAGACAAGTAAATACTGGATTTCTAAAGATAATGATAAAGACAATAATTTTAAAAATGCGATCATCGATTTGTTTCAAAACCGACTTAAAACTGAGTCATTAGAACAGAACCCCATCATAAGTCGGGACTACCCATATTTTATCCACTGCATGTTATCCACCAAAATAGTATTAGCTGTGTATATATATAAAAGAATATAGTGTTTAAGATGATAGAAATATACTTATCCTACCCACGAACACACACTCTCCAAGGCTTCCCACTTTATCCTTTAGGTTAAATATTTTCTTGTTAAAAGCTTTGAATTGGTTACAAATGTCTTTTTGTTTGTCCCCCAGGCTACTATGGGGACGGTCTAAATGCCATCATTGTGTTTGCCGCCTGTTTTCTGCCAGACAGCAGTCGGGCGGATTACCACTATGTCATGGAAAATCTTTTCCTGTGAGTGATACTTACGACAAAGTGCTTTGCATTCATCGCTGTGGGCATGAAGTGGCAGCTAGCGCAGCATTAACGAAAAGAGAATGTACTTTGATAAACGTCCGTGAAACCACTGTGCAGAAAAGCATGACTCAGGAAATGAGGGGCCTTTACAGGAGAGCTTTTGTCAATCAAATGGATTGCAAACAAAATGAACACATTTTGGCCTGCATTTTGAAAGCTGGTAGCATTTCTTTGGGGAGGAGTATGATTTTTGTTTCCCGATAACATCTCCGTCGCCTGACACAAGCCTGACTTTCTTTTTCACTGCCCTCTCTGTTGCCCGTAATGTTTGATAACATTGCGGACAATTTTGAAAGTCAGGTTTCTAAGCTAAACATTTTACTAACTACCGTACCTTCATTTTTGGAAAAAGATAGCCATCAAAGTAAGTGAACAATACTCCCTCTCAGAGAAAGGACCACAGCAGGTAGCTGCTTTCTTCCCAAGGGGAGGAGGCAATGTGCACAACTACTCTTGACTGTCTCACGTCCTGTAATTTAAATGTTACATAATTATGGTGTCAACAGCACAGAGAATGTCAGGTGGGCACTGAGGATGCTCCTCTTCCTTCCTGTGATCAGATATGTAATAAGTACTTTGGAGTTGATGGTGGCCGAGGACTACATGATTGTCTATCTGAATGGTGCAACCCCAAGACGGAAGATGCCGGGGTTAGGCTGGATGAAGAAATGCTACCAGATGATTGACAGACGGTATGTAGATTCCAGATCGTATCCTTATTTTGACTTCCTCAGTCACCTCCACACTTGTTCTCCCTTAATCTATCAAGGAAATGATCGCATTGTATAACATTTAAATTAATCATATTGGAAATTATAAACTATAAAACTATCAACATATGTGTAGCTTGGTGCCCCATATTTGAAATAAAGAAAATCCAAGATTTTTAGGAAGTGTTGCAATTACAAACCTGACGGATGGTCTATTTTAAGCTGTACACACGCAATTTCCTCTTGGAGGTGCACCAACATACCTGGATTCTTTACTGGTATTATGTGGCCCTGCTGATGTTTATGTGCATTGAATCTGCTGTGACGTAGACAAGCATTATGTCCTTATTTTGGCATTTATTCATAGATAATCCAAGTTAAAGTTAATCAACAGTCTACACAGTCCCGTTGTGTGGGTTGGAATCCATAGTGATTATACTAGAACAAAACTTTTGATTGCCATCTGCACTAAAATAATCATAAGGACTGCACATGTGTTTGATGTCTATCATATATTTGGCATCCCCTTTGATGTGGCTCTTTAAATAATAATACATGATTACCTTGTCTGTTTCACATCCATCTTCCATCTTATAATCTAATATTCAAAGAATAGTTTTTCCCATCCTGAGACATGTACCTGAAAATCAGTAAGATTAAAATGGTGACTAAAAGCTATACAACCAGCATGAAATACTGCAATTATTTTCAAACCAGCACTCAGTAAGATAAATTAACTTGTCTAAGCTGCTATTAATCATGAATGCTGTGCCCTGCCCCCAAAGACTATTTTTGGAATTCCTAGGGGACTTCTTTGCTTTGCTCCTCGTCCTTCATGTTTATCCCCAGTGTGGTGGAACCAGATCAGACACAATTCCCACACTGTGTCTCCAGTGTTGGGGGTGGGGAGCAGAGTGTAACACCATATCAGACTTGACTGGAAAACACTCATAAAGGGGGGGGGCAACAGGGGAGGACATGGGAGAGGGGGAGGCAGGGGAAAGGAATGGGGGATCCAACAAATCCAGGGAAAAGGGAACAACAAGTGATCTAAAATCAATGGTGAGGAGGACATAGGATGCCTGGTGGGGCTTGATCAAATGCAATGTAGCCAAGAAGAATTAATGAAAGCCAAATGAAGGTGGAACATGATAGTGGAACAGGAAGAAAGTAAAAGGAAATAGAGGAAAGAACTAGGAGGCAAAAGACATTTATAGAGGTCTAAATACAAGCCTGTATATGTGTAAATACATTATTATTTAACAATAGACATATAGGTCTATGTACATATATTTATATGTTAAGTATTAAGGTAGCAGAAGAAGGCTTTGTTCTAATAACCTGGAATTCTGTGACGCTCAACTTCCTGACACGATGGCTGAAGACAAAATGGGTGCATAAGCAAATGTGGTGAAGAAAACTGACGGTGCCTGGCTATCAAAAGATATAGTGTCTGGGGTCTTACAGACTTGAAGATAAACAAGCAGCCATTTAGTTGAGAAGCAACAAAGCCCACATGGAAGAATCACACCAGCCAGTGTGATCATTAGGTGTCAGTGGGATCAGGTGTCAAGGATCAAAGACCCAGAACAAAAAATCATTTCAATGTGAATGAGAGGTAGGATGGAGTGGAGACCCAAAGCCCATCTGTAGATAATTGGACATTCCCTCACAGAAGGGTCATAAGGATGAGACGAGCCAGTCAGGATGCAGTATAGCACTGATGAAACATACAACTTTCCTCTAGTTCTTTAATACTTCCTCCCCACCACTATCATAACCCCAATTCATCTTACCAATCCAGCTAGACTAGAGCATGTATATGGGTACAGATAAGATCTGGAAACAGGGAATCCAGGACAGATAAACCTCTCAGGACCAACAATGAGAGCGGCCATATCAGGAGGGTGAGGGGAAGGTTGTGGGAGAAAGGGAGAGCCCATCACAATGATCAGCATAACACACCTGCCCCTTAGGGGGACAAACAGCAGAAAAGTGGGTGAAGGGAGACAGTGGTTGGTGTAAGACATGAAGAAAATAATAATTTTTAAATTATCAAGGGTTCATGAGGGAGGTGGGGAAAGCGAAGGGGGGGGAGGTTGGGGGGCGGGGAGGAATGAAGAGCTGATACCAAAGGCTCAAGTAGAAAGATGAGCCTTTTGAAATAAAAGAAAATGAAATGCTTTGAAAATGATGATGGCAGCACATGTACAAATGTGTTTGAGACAATTGATGTATGGATTGTGATAAGAGCTGTAAGGACCCCCAATATAATGATTTTTTTAAAAAAAGAGTGAATGCTGTCCAAAAGGGTCAAAATAATGCTACAGATATCAAAAACATTCATAAGCCAAAATGTTGCTTAATGGTTTATAATTGAATGGACTCCACGAATACAGCCCTTCTGTTCTGCATTCCTTGTTGGAAATTTGGAATAACTAGAAAATTCTTGAATTATAAGGATTTTAAATTATGCCACAAAACAGTCTGTTTGTTAATTATGGCCTTTCTACCTTCCTACTCCCTCAAATTATATGTACCATATTATTATTTGATGATACTTTTGCTACTTTAATTCCCTGTATGATGGGTAAAGACTAAGCTTTTAAAAACTTTTTTCAAAATAGGTTGCGGAAGAATTTGAAATCATTCATTATTGTTCATCCCTCTTGGTTCATCAGAACAATCCTTGCAGTAACACGGCCTTTTATCAGGTATGTCAATAAATAAATAAATAAATAAATGTATTACCAGTCCTTTCTAGAAATATGGATTCCTTGACTTATAAATCCAGGGGTCGTGAACTAAAGGAAAATATATTTTGTTTCCTTCTTTCCTGGAAAGCGATTTGATGTTATTCATCTGAAGTCCCTAATTCTGATTGAAAATTTGATTCATTAAGAATATTTTCTCTCCTGGTCATTTAGGGAAGGATCTCTAAATTATCTGCTTTAAACACGGGGGTGGAGGAAGGGGAGAGACAGTTATTTGAAATGAAGGCTGTTTTGGAGAGAACAAGAAAGTAAGGTGGAGGTCATGACAAAGATTCCCTAAGGAGACATCAGACAGGGCAAGATATGACAAAATAATGATTTATAAATTACCAAGGGCTCATGAGGGAGGGGGGAGAAGGAAGGGAGGGGAAAAATGAGGACCTGATGCCGGGGGCTTAAGTGGAGAGCAAATGTTTTGAGAATGACGAGGGCAATGAATGTACTAATGTGCTTTACACAATTGGTAAATTGGTGCTTTACACAATGGATTGTGATAAGAGTCGTATGAGCCCCTAATAAAATGATTAAATAAATAAATACAAGACTCCCTAAGGATAGAAGCTGGAGTTAGACCTAGTCTTGTCCCATTTCTCCTGAACAAATATAATGCACATCATTTTGAGAGCTGTGGTTTGAACATCCATGAGGATTCTTGGTTTTATTTCAGTTCAATTTGGTGAGTCTGTATCAGCACTGATTATATATTTGGTGCCCTATTACCTCATAGAGGAGCCCTGGTGGAGTGGATATGCATTAGACTGCTTAACTTTAAAGTCAGTAGTTCAAAACCACCAGCCATTCCAACGGAGAAAGACGAGACTTTCTAGACATGATAAAATAATAATAATTTATAAATTATCAAGGGTTCATGAGAGAGAGAGGAGCAGGGAGGGAGGGGAAAAATGAGGAGCTGATACCAAGGGCTTAAG